TGTAGCGTCGAGTTCCTTAGTTTGGCTAAGCGACCTCGTGATTTTTGAAGGGAATTTAAACAATTTATTAGTAATAAAATTGAAACACTGATTTTAAGTAAGAAAAAAAATGAATCCGGAAGAAACTCACATTTATTTGTTCAATTAAATACAATTGTTGCTCATTTGAGAGCTTAATCTTAATCAAATTGATGATTAAGTTTTACAACCAATCAATTAAGATTGAAAACGAGAGAGAAAAAGTTAAAGTGCTCTTCACTCTCGCGTAGTAACCTGGAGAATGAGAATTATTATTATTTCTTCTTTCTCTTGAGTTTTTGGTTGCTAGGCAAAAAACAAAATATATAAAAGAGATGAATTTCACTCTTTATTTGAAATCGAACAAGTATTATAGCCCAGCTTTCGATTGGTGTAGGTTGCGGGTTCAAATTTTACATTTTATCGATGCTGCGATAATTATTCTATTGGAAAATTCACGTGTGTCAAAAAAACGGTCACCTCCGTGGACATGAATATCTCGAGCTATGATCATTCTTTTTAACCGCTCGCCCCGTCAAAAGACTCGTTTTCCATGACCAAATTTCGGGTTGTGCGGAAAATTTTGTGCGTTTCTTATTTTTCTTACATAGTTGATCAAAGCAGCGATTTGTCACCTCCGTGTATGTCACCTCCGTAACCGAAAATAGTCAATTTTAAGCATAAAATCGGACATAGTTTTCGTAAAACGAAATCTCAAAGCCCCAGATTCAATAATTATTCATATTTTCTGGTTTAAAAAAGGGTAAACTAGTTCGCGCCGTTCAATATGACACAAAAATTTTCACCATTTTTTCGTTTTCCATACCCGAAAAAGCAGATTTCGGGAGAATCAACCATATCATCTCTTGCCCTTTTTTAAAAATGAGAATATATCGCGAAGGATTTGACAGCTAATACGGATGCGCTGTTTTAATACATCATATCCTGACTCTCCGACGAAAAGTTTATTTCGAGTATATCCATATCGCGAATCGACTATTATTGGAGCCTCGCGAGTCGTTTAAAAATAATCTTACCTCCTCAGTTGAAATTACAAAACGACGACAACGACGACGACGACGGAAGCGTCACCAGCAGCAGCAGCGTCAGGCTGGCCCCGATCAGACCGTAGCGCTGGATCGCCGAGCCTGCCACGAATGACTCGGCGCCGTTGCAGAGATCGGTGGTGCACGAGCAGTAGTGGGCTCGTACGTCGTGCGTGCCGGTCCTCATGAGGCAGGCCTTGTCGTCGGCCTTCTCGTCCGTGACGAAGCCGCAGCCGCGCACGACTCGATCCTGCCCGTAAACTGGAAAACAAATACACAAAAATGAGAGATATCGTATATGTATGTGTCAGATGCGCGTGTTAAGTAGAGCTTGCAGCGAAATCATTCCGCAAAAGTTCGATCGACCCTCTCGAAACGACTTGCTGCCGTTGCCGCTGCTCTGTACATGGCTTATGTAACTGTACAATAGTGCATATAGAAGTCGGTATAATTGAGGCTATACATTCTATTATACTCCCCAGAGGGAACGACTCCTAAGGAGGCACGAAAGCTCCGCATCTATTTATAGACCGAAAATTACGACGCTGACAATGTCTGTAATACGTGTGTATAAGTACAAAGTACACGTGCTGTGCATTACTCTGAATTCGCGATTGCACGCGCGGCACGCCGTGTCCTATACTTGTGTACAGTACGAGCCCCGCGCGCGGGTGCATAAACTGCAATTTATAAATGCATCTTGTTAATTTACTTCGAGCTATTTACGTGTATGCAAACGCGACTTGTATCGCGCGAGCTTACGAGTTTTCAAACGGCCGCGATGATTTAAATCCTCGAGACACGGTGAGAGACTCGGAAAAACACGATCGGACAGAGTTGTTGTCGACGCAGACTTATGTTTTTCCCAAAGTTTGTTTTCGCGCGTATGAATTATGCACGCGCGCGCGCGCGAGTTCGAGCTCGTCTCCAAGCTATCGGTGAAAGATATAGAGAGGGAGAGAAAAAAAAATAAGCACAAATCGAAGCTAAAAGTTACGTAAGGTTCGAGGCCGTCGCAATGCAGGGAGTAAGTATACAGCACTAGAGCGAAGAGAGAGAGAGAGAGAGAGAGAGAGAGAGACAGTCGGCAGTACTGGTCGGGATATATACGTATAAGTATAATATGCGCCACGACCGCCCCAGCCAGCGGTGCACTTGGCTGGCTACGTATGTAGACGCACGCAGACACTCACACACATGCACACATATGCACATAACGATACTTAAAGCATACACGTCGAAACTCGCGAAATTTAAAGAGACGAACTTTGACCGTTTCTTTTTAGTTTTTATTGAAATTTCATGTAGCGCGCGTATACACGCGAAGCGAGGGTTTCTTACGGTTTGGCTACTTTCTTATACGATAAGCAGTACTTTATGCGGTAAAGTTTTTTTTTTCTTCATCCTATTTTCTTGCAAAGATATGATGAGTAATTTTGAGTAAAAATCTTTAAACATTCCAGAATATTTTAAAGTCAATTTTGTTTTATTTTTGTTTTCTACGTCCCTCTGTTTCTTTTTTTTAAGTGTTGTATACAATTTTTCTTGAATGATTATAAAGCGTATAAGGACAGCTCTAACCAGGAAAAAATATTGTTTACTCTGATTGTCATGGTACAATAATGTACACTTTATTAATGAATTACTGATATTATTCATAAATTATTATTCATAATTCCAAATATTTTTTCCAAACACTGGGCTGGTCGTTGCATAGAGAGCTGCAAGAACCATGTAGTCAAAAAAATGTAGGTAAAGAAGTAATCGCGTGATTCACAATCTGCCATGGGATAGAACACGGGTCTATACAATCGGCGCCGCCACGGTCAAACTTTTGATTCGGACTGTTGCATCCTTAATTCATATGAAATACGTAAAACTGATGACGAATCTCCAGCGAGCATATGCGCGTGCGTCGCTCGAGTCTTGAATTTTTTTTTTGAAGTATACTTTCACTACGCCTACACACGGCTCGCGCTACTACTGTGTATCTTTTTTAGCTTCGTCCAACGTATTTTTTACTTTCTCTTTCACTATATGTAGGTAGAGTGCTATGTATGGTCAGTCCACGTCACGACGCATTAAAGTGAAGAAGTAAAGATCGCGACGACTGAATTAACACGTGATTTTCGTGAAAAAATTGAAAAATATCTTAAATTACAAGTGACCGTGTGTTGTGTATGTGAGTGCTGAAAACAATGTACAAGATTGACGAAAATAAGCAAATTCGTTACTATTCAATAGATACGCCCGAATACCATGATTTTAAACGTCGTCGTTTTAGCCAAGACAACATAATAAAATTGAAAGCTATGCGTGAAAATGTCACATGGGAGGTCGAAGAGGAACGACGTGAATTTCTTCGTCAACTTTATGATTTGATCGAAAATTGGGCAGACCTACTTCCGAATTTACGGGACATTTTCCGAAGGGAAGAAATTGATATGCTCGTCTTGGAGGAAATGAAATACCGTAAAAATGGGATTCCAAGTCCATTTATCGACTTTGTTATCCGAACCGGCTACCAAGACGAGCCCTACGTTGATAAATACGGCAAGCCATTGCCACGTCGCACTACAGCACTGCATCATTCTTTTGGAAAAGATACAGAAGACTACAGGGTTCTCGTCAGCAAACTTTTCAACATATATAACAGATTTGACGTTAATTACACCGATGAATTTGGATTAACGCATTTCCACGTGGCGTGCAGTTATGGCTTGGATGACATAGTGAAGAAATTTCTCGAGCTCGGCCAAGTTGATCCCAATTGCCTCGTACCAGAAACAGGTGATTCACCACTGCACTTGGCTCTGGATCTGTATTCGAATGGCAAGAAAATGCTACGATTGCTGCTGCCAAGAGGCGCCAATTCGACTGCAGTCAATAAGGACGGAATGACCCCTTTGCACAGAATTTGCGACAGTCACTACAAAGGTAGCCTTAAGGTCAAATTGTTGAAGATGATATTCGAGCTCAGCGAGGAAAAATACCATCCGGTACAGGTCAACGCTCAGGACGAGTGGGGATATACACCGCTACACTACTCTGTGGCTCGCTGGAACGAAGGTATGGTCGAACAGCTGCTAAGAAGAGGCGCCAATCCGAATATAGCCAATGAGGCGGGATGGACAGCTTTGCACATGTTTTGCAATAGTATGAACGATAATATCGAATTGTTAAAGATGTTATTCGAGCTCAGCGACAAAAAATATCATCCACTGCACATCAACGCCCAGAACAAGTTGGGTCAGACAGCCCTACACTATGCTGTGATTGGCTACGACAATAGGGTGGTCGAACTATTACTGAGGAGAGGCTCCGATCCAAATTTAGCCAAAAATGATGGCTCGACACCTCTGCACTTTATTTGCAATCTTTCCGGTGACAATGAAAAATTGGCGTTGATGTTTTTCGAGCACAGTAATGAAAAATATCATCCAGTGCAGGTCAATGCTAGAGACAAGTTGGGCCGAACACCGCTACAATTAGCCGTGGCGCGTCTTTCGCTGGATCAGGCTGATGTACTCTTGGATCATGGCGCTGATCTGTCCAATTTTGTTTTTCCTGATATGAATGTATCCGTGGATTATGAAAGTAGCAATATGAAATTGAAATTAGCGTCTCGCATTCTAGTCTTTGTTGAAAGTCTTGAAAAAAGAGGATACGAATTGGACCGAAGCGACGCCTTGAAGATCATGAAATTTTTTGCTGAATGCAAACTGTTCGAGGACAAGTCGATGGATCTTGAAAAATCTTGTTACGAGAAGTTCGAAGCAGAAGTTAAAAAGATAATGGTTATTCCGAGTCTGTCGCTCTACGACGTGATGCAGCTACAACCCAAAGAGGCGGCTAAACAACTCACATTAAAAGATTACTGCGAGTTCGCATGGTCGCAAAAATGTTCTAGGCTCTCAGAAAGATATGAAGAAACTTGTGCTTTACATCTGTGCGAGAAATTATCGAGGAGATTTTTTCGGAGCTGGGCACTGGATTGTTTTTATGAGATTACACATAAACGACTGCCGCTTCTCTGCTGTGATATGGTCCTTGATGTGCTAGAGAACCAAGATTTATATAATATTTGCTTGGCAACTACAATCCAAAGCTCATGATAATCATAAGCATATTTTCGTTATTTTTGTAATGTCTGGTGTTATGCAGCAGACTCTCCATGTTATTCGAATAAAAAATGTGTACAACTAAAATATTTCAGAAATAGATTGCATTCTAAATTTTAATAAACTTTGTTTTCATAAAAGATCCAATTTTTGGAAAAGTATCATTGAATATATTGTAAAAATTCCTATAGGCGAACATAAAAATGCCATAATGAAAAATGAGTCTCCGTCAACATTTATTTTAATCAGCATAATTATTACTCACTCGTTCGTCTATACGCTCTCTGTAGTGATACTGAGCTTGAATCTTCATTGAAACGAATCTCGTGCAAATTGATCCAATAAATTTGCGCAACAAGGGCTTGTTTTTTGAAAAAATGATTTGAAATATTAAAAAAAAAATTTCGTTTGATCAAGTATGCCATATAATAAGGCACTATAAAATTTATTGGCAAAACCATCAGTTTAATCAAGTTTTTAAATACATATCACATAATACATAGTAGTATTTTATAAGACCATTTAATTTTAACTTGGGGACTGCTACTGCGAATGATAATTTAGAGATTTCTCAAAACGATTCTGAGGTATTGGTACGCACTCGGTACAAAAAGAAGTTATTATTAAAGTGAGCATACTATCAAAGCTGTTAGCAGTGTACCACACACAAGCACTTATAATCATTTCTAGTGCACTGCACGAATGGATGGACGGATGGACGATGGCACGAGCTGTAAAAGCGGACGCGACTCGATCGTATACGTTTTTCTGAATAAAATATCATGCGACTTTGGCTGTCTTTCTCTCTCTCACTCCCAGAAGCGTAAATTAATCGTTAATGATCGTATATGTAGCGACTGCGGTCCAGAGCCCATTCGTTGATTACATTTATAACGATCGATTACTCCTCCGGAATAATGGAAATGCATATAGTACGATTCAGACGTACGAATTTCGCATATGGTATATGTGTGTTCGCGCATTTTAGCAATCAATTTGCCATCTAGGTAATTAGTAAAGATGATTTATACGTCTGTGCACTATGCTCGCAACGCGTTGCAATTACTTCAGTTTCCTAAGTCTCGCTCTAGCTTGCGTACGCGCGCAAGAAAAGTCGACGGCTAAAGCTCTCTCTCGCAGCAGAGAGGAGGCGAGGATCTTCGCAAGCTCGAGCGCGGCAAATTAATCGTGTAGATATCAAGCAGCTATAGATATCCAGATAGTCTCTCTGGAGTAAAACGTGTGTATGTACGCCTGTATTAATTATCCTCCATCCGAATCTCTCGTCTCTCTGTGTGTCTCGGACTGCAAAGCTGCCGATGAAACGTCGAGTGTATAGACGCGTTGGCGCTTGCCTTTCACGTTGTATACGTATATCGTTCGAGAAAGAGAGAGAGAGAGAGGGAGATGAAAGCGTTGAAGGATCGAAGCTTGAGTCGAGCTGTCAAGACAATTCGCTTCGCATTCTGTTTCTCTCTCCCTCTGCATCGGCAGATCGAACTAGGCTTGTATTATATATATAATATACCTTTCTGAGTGATTTTTCGACAGAGCGTGGGCTCGAGATGATTGAGATGCTCGAGACGCGGCTGAAAGCTGCAATTGACCGTGCCGAGGCTGTACGGATCGAAGGGATCGCCGCACCTCGGGTCGTACTCGCTGTTGCACTGATAACATATAACTCCTTCGGCTGTAAACAAAAGAAAAAAAAGAACAGTTATACTTGTGGAACTTTATGCAACATTTTTAAGAAACGCTTCTATACGAATATCAACATTTTCATTCTTTTTTATTTTAAAACTTTCCATAAATTTCCCTTGGTAAATGTCGGTTTCTAATATCTTGAAACTATTCACTGGTTTTCAATTTGAACAATGACTTGTGTGCTCAAGTTTTTTCTGCTGGAATTTTCGTCGCGTGTCGTTTGATTCGCAACAGAGCGAGATACAGGGCTCGTAATCGATACAGAGTTATCCGTTTACACGATATACATAACGAGTACCTTAATTCAATCAAGCTTCTTGTGTCAGTAACCCAGACGAGATAGAGTGGGCAGGCGCGGCTGACTGGAGTAACGAAATTTGTCGTTCGATGTCTCGGGTGTCGCGCGCGCTCACGCTTTTAACATTAATCGAGAGCTCGCAAAGATTTCGGGTGTAACGACGTTGATACGAAAATGTACAATGTATTTAAATGAAATTGAACGCCTCAACGAGTCGGAACCTCGTTGCTTTTTTATGCATGCATAACTCGGTTAAAAACGATCGATTGTCTATACATAGAGTAGTCAAGCACGATCGCCGATTTATTACACCGGCGCGGGCCGAGTTTAAATTTTGACTCTTCCATCTTCTCGAACTCTCGTAGTTACAAATCGATCGCCCCCGCGCTGCACCCAAAAGTTTTCAATAGGGTCGGTCGGAGAGAAACTTTTGGATAAAACACGCTCGCGGCTATTACACGTTAAACGTGTACGTTAGCTTTTTCACGCCTTATAACGACCGCTGTGTGTGTATACAAAAGCGTAACGATCTTGCGCGATTATCGCTTGCGCCATATACACGTACAAACACAAAAAACATGCCACGTGTGATTGTGTGTGCGGTGCTGCAAGCTCGCAAGCTCGTACATACACCTATGTATATAACCTAATAGCGACTAGTCAGGCACGGAAAATGTCAAGGTCTCGCACGGTGCGCGCGGGTTCTTCGACCAGTATGAGTTGTACTATGTGTAATATATATGTGCGGCGCTCCGGAGCACTCATACGTATATATAGCGTATCATGGGTATGTATATAACCACCCACACCCCCTTGGCTCTATTACTACTGCTGCTGCTGCTGCTGCTTCTACTATGCTACTCCCCACCGCGAGTACGTCGCGGCGACCTTGATTCATATATACACATCAAGCTCGAGTATGTAACAGTTGCACATTTGCTCGAGAACGACGCAAGCTCGAGCCAAATTTTCGACGTTACGTAATGGACAGACTTGCGCTTATTGCCAAAGAAATCGTTAGCCAGTTCGGCGTGTATGGACGAACAAAAAAAAAACGAAACAATGAGTCGAAAGAATCGATATTATTCGGTGATTCGCAGCTTCATTGACAGCGCGGGAGCAATCTGCGAACCGTTTTTAACGGGATTTGCATTTCGTCAACTTTTTTGTAAAATTATTTTCAACGATGAACGATCCCATGCGAAGCATGATATATCCTCGCGCAAACAGATATTTTCAGACAAAAATATCGCTCGCTATACGTGCGTGTGTGTTTACGTTTGTTGACTCTGCAGTGAACTGCAACGAATTTATGCAGTATAAACAGATAAAATAGACTTATTTAGCTAAAATCTTCTAGGTTTCGTAGGTGTTGTATATCCACTGAAGTAGCTAGAAGCGCAGCTTTTTTTTGCTCCCTCCGTTTCTTTCTCCATTTTTAACGATTAAGACAATAATGTATATTAATACTTGTGCGCGCGTCTTTGTGTGTAAACGAAAGCTCGCGAGTACGCGAATTGCCTAGACAGTGTGTACGACGATGTACACACACGCTCTCCGCTCCGATGCATGCAAAATAATCCATTTGGAACGAGGTCGAAGAGCTAGAGCGGCGGGTTTCATCGGTTCGCGACCTGCTGTTACTGCTGCTTCTGCTTCTGCTGAGGGCATCGTCGTCGCCTTATACGCCAATGCAGCACCGTTATAATACCCGCACCAGTCACGACTGTAGCCCCCGTCGCGCAGTTGCTTATGATGAGCGATGAATGTACGCGATAATTATGTCGCTGCTGCCGTGGTTCGCGCGGCTGCACGCGTACATAAAAGACGAAACGGAAATAAAACCGTGAAATTCGACGTGGCGGAGAGAAAGGGACGAATGCTGTGCACTATAAACGAGAATAGTAGCGATGCGACGATACAACAACAACAGCGGCAGCGACGATGGCGCGATAAAACTACACCGTAAAATTAGATTGACGTAAGTATAAAAGTAAGTATGAAATTTCAATAATTGAAATGAAAAAAAAAATTTTTTTTGTTTATAGGTGCCTATTTCTTCGAGCATTGACTTATACAATTACTTTGACTTTGCCACTTGCAGATTTATAGATGAAGGAGCTGGCCATCTACCGGTGAATGTTCAAAGTAGTGTATTTTCGAGTGACCGAAAACTGAACTAAATGTTTTGAAACAATGAATTCACAATAAAATCAATGAAATTAATGGTAATTTATTTTAAAACCGTTTCAGTGAACATTTTCGATTATGAGGCCTCGATTAATGTTAAACATTCCTATAAACAGTCCAAGTGCAGGACGAAGCCCAAAGACTGCGATAAATGACTGTATTTTCTCGAACACGAAAAATACAACCGAAGATACAATTAAAGGGCAATAATGCATTCATGCATTTGCAGTTACATTTATATAAAGCACCTTTTTGTTCGGATCCGCGCGATAAACTCGAGCTTTTCTTGTCTTGGAGTGCGCACTCGAAGTTCATCGTCGAGAGTCGACGACCTGCGACAAGTTAAAAATATCCACGACAACGACTTCGCAATCAACCGAAGATTCATCCGGGCACTTTTTTCTCTCTCTCATTCTCTTTTTTTCTCTCTTCACTCGAACATAAGTGCACGGATAAACGCATGTGCTCTCGTAAAGTATACTCAATACAGAGCAAGAGTAGAGAGTAGAGAGAGAGAGTGAAAAGTCGTTGTTGCGACGGGTCGCGTGAAAAGTCGAGAGCGAGAAGAGAGAGACGAGGACAAAGAAGTGCGCAAAGAAGAGAAAAAAAGAGGTACAACACCTGCGGGGCAGTTTCACGTGCAACTTTTGCAATTGCGAACAATGGGCTCGCGAGTGCGCGCGAAAAACAACAGCTCGCGTTTATATAAAAGTGGCTCGCGTGCTGCTGCTGCTGCTGTCGCCGTTGTGTACTGTACGTGCGCAGGCTTTGCCAAATGGGCTCTGTTGTTGACTACGTCGCGAAGCTCGTGTGTCTATATGCGTACACGTGCACCTTGTATGACGGTATACAATGTAAATGTAACAGCAGCTGTTTACACGCGCTTCGGTGCATTAAACGCCTCGGGGACAGCGAGAAAGCTCGTGTGTGGGTGTGTACACCTCTGAGCTTTCCGCAAAGCTCGGGAGCTTTAAAAGCTCGTTTTAGGATGTGAGCGCGCGAGAAGAGGAACAAAAAAAATATAATTTAAAATTTTTAATTTTCTATATATTCAAGTACAATCTGGTTTCAAGGTTGCCAGCGTTTCGAGTGTTAATCGATCAGCGTTTGCTGAATTCGATTTTCAAGATATAGTTGGCAGCTTTTTCTTTCTTCTTCTCTTTTTCGCTCACACATACACCAACACGCACGCACACCTATGTGTAGCGCGGCACGCAATCGCTCATCGTACTGCGCAAAGTTTAATCGATAGTTTAGAGCTGCATTCCGATTATAAGCCTGTGGCAAGTGAGAGGGATAGAAAGAGAGGCTCTAAATTGGCGAACAATTTTATTTTTATTCCCTCCGAGCTGAAACATTGACGCTCGAGGGTATTTTTTGATTTCGCAGCTCGCGCGGATCGATCGTTACCCATTATTTACAAGCGTACATAGTTAGCAAATAAATGAACGCTAAATTCGAGCGAACGAGGAAGAGAAAGACAGAGCGAAAAAAAACGTTAATCCGTCGAATAATTGATGGGCGTACACAGCTCGCGCCGTGCAATTGCATCCAAGTAGACATGACACGAGTTCGATCAGACGCGCTCGCGCTTAATGCATTCGAGTACAGAGCTGATGCTGCTACGGCTACTGCTGCTACACGTTAAAAATTCTTATTATACGCTTTTCTGCACGCGCGCACACACTCGCGTCGATGGTAAAATTTTTCCTATAAATTTTCCAACTTGAATGATACATCGGCGAGGAGGTCGTAAAGAAGAAGAAAAAACGACGGGACGCGGCGCGTAAAGAAGGAGGCTCGAATCGTCCTACTTATCTTCGTGAAAAAGAGTCATAAAATTTAGAGGGGGGGCGAGCTTGAAGCGTGCACGCGCGCTCGCGAGCGCGTATAAGTCAATTTAAGAGCTCTATATCTAAAATTGCACGAAAGTTGAACAATTTTAGATCCCCCTGATAAATTACCTTTTTTTCCATGCGCGCGTTCGCGTACGTTTGTCTATTTGCGCGTCGTTTAAGCGACTATATGGTTGTATAAATTTTCCACTCGTCACCGTGCGCGTGTAAAATCGTTAAAAATAATGGAGTACCGCTTATGAAACGCGTTCGATCATCGATAATTTCTTCGTGAAAATCTCGTCCGATGTATATTATATATCGGACGAAATCACCGCGTCGAAACGCGCGTCTCGTGCAGCAGGTACGTAATATTGCGTGCGTATATAGTGCTGCCGGGCGAGAGGCGAAAGGGGTCGAGTATATATGCTACTGGCGAAACGCAGCTGCGAAAAAAAAGAGGAAGGAAAAAGGAAAACTATTTGCCTCTGTACGCGATGTCGAAGGACGCGTTATAGTTGGCAGTTGAAACGGTAGCACGTCTCACGCGCGCGCGCTAGTAGAAAAATTGCCGTCGAGGCGAAAATCATCATCGGAAAGTTCTACGTAGCGTGAATATAAGGAAAAGAGGCAGCAGCAGCAGCGGCACTAAAAAAAAAGAGA